ATTTTGATATTGTTATTATATAATTATTTATACTAAAATTGTAAAAAAATACTTTTAAATGAAATTGATAAAAATAATAAAAATATTAGTACTTTCCATTGAGATCCATGAAGTAATAATTGGATGTTTTATTAGATAATAATAATTTTATTAAAATTTGTGGAATAAAACATTTTACTTAAACAATAAAATTCTTAAACAAATACAATTGTTTGGTTTGTATTTCAAATACAAGTTAATACTTTAGTCTACATAATGTTTTGATAAAAATGAACTCTTTTTACTTTGGTTTACCAAAATTACGGATAAAAAAAATACTGAATTATCGAAATAATGCGCATACATATAACAAAATATACTGAAAATTCAAAAATATTGGTAAGATATGATATCATATGGAATTTTTTCGATAATATAACAATATACAATTTGACATTTTTAGTATATTGAAAAACTGAAAAAAAAAAATTGATATTTCGGTATATATACCGAAGCTTTAGTACAGTTACGATATACTGTACAATCCAATATTTTTAGTATATCGTATAGAACTATTTCTAATTGAATTACATATATGATATTAAATTATAATATTTGATGCTGACATACTAAAATAAAAACTAATTTTATAATTCTGCACGATAATAATTTTTTTATATCTTTTTTAACAAAAAAGATAATAAGTCAAATCATATTTCTTTGTTAACTAAATTTAATAGTAAAATACCAAATTAAATTCTGCATGTGACGGTCTCATTTATCTTTTGCGTTATTGTTATTAACATTAAAAATATCATTATATTTGTATAATTTGTTGTACAAATGTCCTTCTATCAATATTATAAGACACTAATGTAAGTATTTTTTTAATATTTTCTTAATTTGTACTATGTTTTGATATAATAATTAATATTAAAAAATCAACATGTAAAAAGTAAATGAGACCCTTAAAACCCGACGGAGATAATATTAATTTATTTTTACATTAAAAACTAATTTAATATAGAGAAAAGAGCCTTAGGTCCAATTCGCATTAACAAATTTTATAATTATCCGTCAAAACATTAAAATATAAAAAAAAATACATTTTAAAGTCTAAAGACAGTTGATTTATTTATAACAAATACCACAATCTATCATTAAAATATATATATATATATATATAATTGTACTTCATTTGTCTCAACTAAAGGTATTATTTCACTATTTTTTCTATCACATTCAAATATATAAAGTTTTTTATTCTAATAAAGATAATCATACTTTAATATAGAAATATTTTTATTTAATTTTTATATAAATCACAAAAATATCATTATACATTTAACTAATTTATACATCAAAGTTCAATTGTTGTATGTTTTGATGTTTTATGAAAGAGTATTGTTACATGTAATTAGTTCATATGTTATTTTTAAATACTCCATCCGTCGTTTAACAAGTTATCTATTTATTTTTTGGATTATTGTACTTAAAATTTAAAATTATTTTTATATTTGTATAATATTTTATACAAATACCATTATATTTGTATCATATAATATTAATAGAAGTGTTTTTATGCAGGTTTCCATATTATAAAAAATAAAACAAAATAAAATGATAGTGTTTTTATTTTTAATTTTTAATTTTTTTATTAATTTATACTATATATGAATAAAATGTTAATATTGAAAGTTCTATACAAAAAAAAAAAAAAAAAAAATTAATACTTAAAGTAATACTCTCTCCGTCCCAATACAATATTCTTGTTTACTATTTTTGTCCGTCTCAAAATAATAGTCTCATTTTCATAAATAATCATATCACCATAAAACTATCCCTACTTTTTCATTATTATTATATAATTGTCATTATTTTTTACACTAATATAATCACAAGGGCAAAAAAGTCATTTATCTTTACTTTTTACCAACTAATAATATAATATCAATATTTTTAAATCTCGTACCCAACACAATAAAATTATTCTTTTGAGACGGAGGAGTATTATATTAATATATATATATATATATCTTGTATTGTTGTATTATCTATTAGTAGTTTGTATGTTGTCAACGCTAAGAGTAGCCATATATATTAAACTTTGCACAATTCAATCACGTCAAAGTAAATCACAAAATTAAAAATAGCTTTTACATACCATCTATCATCATCGATTATTAAAATACAAGATATTTCTTACGTTCGCTTTTCAGAGTCATATTTAACTTTTGCGTTATTGTATTTAACATTAAAAATATCCTTATATTTGTATAATATTTTGTACAAATGTCATTCTATTAGTATTATAAAACACTAATGTAAGTATTTTTTCATATATTTTTTTTTAATTTGTACTATATTTTGATATAATAATTAATATTGAAAAATTAACACGCAAAAAGTAAATGGGATCTTTAAAGCAAGATGAAGACAGTATATAATAAATTCTTCGGTAAAAGTAAATTGATACTTACAGATGGAACAAAGAGAATAGTAATATTCTCTCGGTCTGGAATCAGTCTATTCGTTTTGTCATTTTTGATATATTTAAAAATTAATTTACCAATTTCTTATGATAATTTTACTTTCACATAATTAAAATACAAAAAAGGAAAAAACTTTATAACCTATTCTCTCTATCCCGTTGAATTGACTCGTTTCATTAGTGATATGTTATTTAAAATAATAAAATTTAATTAGTTAATAATATTGAATTAATATATATATTTTATGTAAATAGTATTGTTATGATTTTAAAATAAGAATTAATATATAATTAAAATAAATTTAAAATATGTGTTTAAATATCTTAAATATTATATCTCAATCATATATATACAATATAGATATAATTTTGTAATGAATAAAATTTTAAATAATACAAATAAATAAAAATTAGATATATATTTATTTATAATTAAGATTAAATAATTTTACAAAAAAAATGAGAAGTTTTTAATTGTAGATAAAAATATTTATTTATTGAAAGAAAGATAGAAATAAATAAATTTTAAATGATGTTATAAATTATAAAATTAATTAAATTAATTTATATTTTTTTACGTAAATTTAAATTTAATAAATTTTATCAAAATAGAAATATATTAATTTAAGTAAAACAGAAGAAAAAAGGAACACTACAAGAAAAAATTATTTTTGTAACAAAATTTTTTTGTCTCTAAATCTACTTTTTCCGTTACTAATGACATTAGAGACGGAATTAGGAACGGAATTACGTTAGCTACGTGAACTTTAGGGACGGAATTTCGTTACAAATATATTATTTTTTTGTAGTGGAAATAAGATAATTGAAATGAAACGAAAGGAATACTTATTACTCCCTTCGTCCCACAACAAAGTATTAATTTTTCCATTTTAGTCCTTCTAATAATAAAGTATTTATTTCTTTTTTTAGTAACTGTACTATCTATCTAACATTACAAATATCCTTACAACTTACAATATATTACACAAATATCATTATATTTATATCAACATATTAATAAGGTTATTTTAATTATTTTTATTTTATTCTTATTATATTTTAATATAATAATAATATTTTTAAAATTACGTATAAAAAACAAATAAATATCTAGTTATTGAACCGACGAAGTATATTAAAAAAAAAACATGATCCTTATTTAACTAATTGTTTTTCCAGAGGATAAATTTGACTGTTTTTACATTATTTGTACTTAGATAGTACAAAATACTATTCCCTCAGTCAATGGAAATTATGATTATTTGGTTGGATGCCAGGTTTAATAATAATAATTTTATATTTAATAGTAAATAATTATAAAAATAATACTCTCCTCTGTCTTACATAATTTGTCAATATTTTTTATTTTCGTCATTCCCAAGTAACTTGTCCTTTCTATTTTTGGAAATATAATTATGTACTTTAATCGCATTTTAAATTTTAAATTTTATAATTTTCTTAATTTAAAATAAACTATTTATGTATTTTAATCTTAATCTATAATTATTTTTACTAAATAATAATTATTTTTACTAATATACTTTTTAATTACTTACTAATTATATTTTACCTAAATTTTCGTGTCTACAGTAATACATCCATATTACATAGGATGGAGGGAGTATTTTCTAATGTATCTCATTTATATTTTTTAATAAATTAAAAAAAAATTATTAATTAGTAAAAATATACAAATAATTTAACATCTTTATCCCTAAAAATATATAAAAAAATAATACTTTTGCAAATATTACATGTATTTGATAATTATATATAAATTAATTTTATTATTATAAGAATAAAAAATACTTGTAAAAATAATATATTGAATTGGAACAAAAACAATCATATTTAAAAAATTTACATGAAAAATAAAACATAATATTCTATCCGTTCCACTTAAATTGTCTATTTTAGTTTAGATACGGAGTTTTATGTATTAATTAATTAGTAAGTAATTAAAAAATATATATAAATTATATATTAAGATACTAAATAGTTTACTTAAAATAAAAAATATATATTATAAATTTTAAAATGTGATTAATGTGTATAATTATATTTTCAAAAGGAAAATGACAAACTATGAGAAAAGAAGAAAATAAAAAAATTGAACAAATTAGGTGGAACGGATGAGTAATAATAATAATAATAATAGATCTAGCTCGGGCAAAAGAGTAATATTTGTTTTTTCATGTAAATTTTTTAATATTAGTATTATATTGGTTTATAGTAAAAAAGACAAAAATACCCTTATTAGATTATGTGATTAAAAAATAATGACATTTCTGTAATATATTGAAAATTGTAAAAGTATTTATTACGTTAGATAGACAATATAATTACTAAATTAGAAAATGATATATTTTTTTTTGACTGATAAAAATAAAAATAATATTTTTTTTAAGTGAGAGGGAGTAATAATAATAATAATAAAAGGGAAAGGGCAAAAGCGTCATTTAGGAAAGAGCAACGAACACCGCATCAATCAGCCTTTAAATAGAGTCTCCTGTGATGTAGACTAGTCACAGAATAAAATTCCCTTCCAATTATCCCTACAGTTCCCTACCCTCAAGTACCCTACAGTTACTTCCTTAACCCTTCTTCTTCCCCAAATGGACGACCACCACCACTCACCCCACCCCCGCGGCGGCGCCGCCGTCGAGCCCGTCCGCTCACGGTGGTCGCCGAAGCCGGAGCAAATCCTCATCCTCGAATCCATCTTCAACAGCGGCATGGTCAATCCCCCCAAAGACGAAACCGTCCGAATCCGCAAGCTGCTCGAGAAATTCGGCGCCGTCGGCGACGCCAACGTCTTCTACTGGTTCCAGAACCGCCGCTCCCGGTCGCGCCGGCGCCAGCGCCAGATTCAGGCCAGCCTCGCCGCCGCCGGCGAGGATCAGCCACAGCAGGTCCAGCCCCAGCCTCAGCCTCAATTCGACCAAATTGGCACCAATTGCAATTTTCCGATCGGATCGTCCCTGGTCGGCTCTTCGTCGTCCTCCGGTGGATTCTCCGGCGGAAATTCCGACGGTTTGTTCTCCCTGTCGTCGGAGCACCACGCCGCCGGCCTTTCGCCGGAGTATGACCAGGCCCCCGCTTTTGCCCCCAATAATTCTTCCTCCTCCTTCAACAATTACCAATCTGGTCAGCCATTACCTATACATACATATATATATAGATATATATATATATATATATAGAGAGAGAGAGAGAGAGAGACTCCATTAGAGCACAGATAATGAGCTTCGAAAAAACCCTAATTTTATGATCACACAAAATTTCAACTTAGATATATATATATATATATATATTGATGAATCGTATTTCTTGATTATCAGTTTAATTAATTAAATTTGTTGATAAAAACCATAATTGAATTTTTTTCAGTATCATAAATTTAATATAGGATATAATTTCTTATTTTTTCTTGTCAATTGAAACCCTAATTTTATGTTCTTGCCATCCAACCTAAGCTTTGGAAAATATTAAAAATACAAATAACTATAAAAATTGCAATCTTTTTTTTTTATTATTATTATTAATTGTTCTTGATCGATTCTGTCATTTTAAAACCCTAATATTCAGATATTATAAAAAAAATTAAAATTACATACACCAGATTAACATATTATTTTCAATGCTTTAAAGTAAAATGATAATTTAGATATATATATATATATATTAGTATTGTAAATTTTTTTAAGAAAATTAAAAGTGAGGAATTAAATATTGAATTGAGCTAATATTTGGTGATATAGTGCTTAATTAATTAATTTTTTTTTTTTGGGAAACAAGTATTGTTTAATTAATTAATTAATTAATTGTTTATTGAATTTATTCAGAGGTGATGACAGTGTTCATCAATGGGGTGGCAACTGAGGTGGGACGAGGGCCGTTGGATGTGAGGGCGATGTGCGGTGGAGATTTGATGTTGGTTCATTCGTCGGGAATGGCAGTACAGATGAACGACTATGGATACGCACTTCTTCACTCTGGGGAAAGCTATTTTCTGGTAATTAATCAATTAATTGATTAAATATATATATTTTTTAAATTTTTATCATACAATTTCACAGATTTTTATAAAATATTATAAATCATCAGTCTAATCAAATTATCATTATATTACACTAAAATTAAATTTTAGATTTAAAATATCGCATCAATACATATTTATATTACATCAAACAATTATTTCTATTCAAAATTTTACTATTTGAAATCAAAACCTAAAACTAAAATCCCATACATTTTCTTTTTAGTTGCATAAATTAATTCAATCTTTACATAAAATAAAAATATTTATTAGTTACTGTTAAAATACAATATTAATTAAATTTTGCTAAAAAAGTAAATATATATAATTCAATAAATTATTGTTTCTGATAAAGTAATTCAATTTTTATTTTAATAGATCATTATACCAAATTATTAATTAAACCTAAAATATTCTTATATATAAAATAGTGCTAAATTAACTATTAGTGAATAATAATTTTTTTAAACATTCTCGTAACAAACTATTTATTTTTTCATTTTAATTTGCTCATAACAAGTACTCATTTTATTTTTATTTTTATTTTTTTATAGTAATTGTACTATTTACCTAACATTACAAATAGTCTTACAATTTACAATATATTATACAAATGTCATTACATTTATATCACACAATACTAATAAGGTTATTTTAGTCATTTCTACTTTATTCCTACTATATTCCAATATAATACTAATATTTTTAAAATTACGTGCAAATAGATACTTAGTTAAAGGAAGTATACTATTGACATATTAAATAAAATAATAATATTATTTATTCTAATCACTCAAACTAAATACATTAACAATAGGATGTGTTTGTCTAATATTTTAGTTTGATTGAATATTAATTTTTTTTTAAAAAAAATATTATATATTAAATATACTAAAACTATGTCGATAATTAGGTAAACAAATCCATATTTATAAAATATGAAAAATTCACATTTAAATAAATTCTTAGCAACGTTTATATATTTAAATAATTTTTAATTTCACTCAATAAAAAAAATTAAAATACTATATTAAAATTATTTTCTATCTAAATATCACATTTAATAGTTATATTATAAATCAAATACTTCATTTGTCCACTAAATTACGTAGTTTTGGTTGGACACAAAAATTTAAAAATAACAATATACTCTCGGTGTCTCATTTTAATTGACATTTTTTTTTGTTTCATAACAATTAATATTTTTTTATTTTTGGTAAAATTATTAAATCGAAACATACTTAATAAATATAAATCAATTTAATTAACAACATAACATATAGTATCATATATCAAGTAGGACCCATTCAAAATTCTTTTATTTCTATTTTTACCCTAAAAAAAACTTAATATTTTTATTTATTTTTAAAACTCTACATCTTTTATAAAATTAATTTATATTAATTATAAATAAATAATTTTTTTTATTAGAAGAAATTTTATTCTCCATGATATGCATATTGCATATATTTTTTTGTTACGACATAACTTTTAAAAAATATTAAATACCATTCTAATTTTCTAATTATATATATTAAATTTATTTTAACATTAATAATATTATTAATTATATAAAAAGGAATAAAATAATATTATAATTTATTATTATTAATAATTATTTAAATATTATTATCTTAAATATTATATCATTTATAAAATGTGTCAATTGAGTCGGAATAAAAAAAGTATTAGGTCAAAGTAAAATAGAGAAAAAGTAAGGTGATATATTATGATAAGATTAATAAAAAAAATAATAAATTGATTATTATTTATTAAAATAAATATATTAAAATTATTGATAAGTAAAAATATTTTAATATAATAAATTATGAGTATATAAATTTAAGAAATCATAAAAAATAATTTTTATTTAACTTTTACTATGGACAGAACTTTCTAAACACAATTTATTATTTTCCAATAATTAATTACTTAACTTTTTTTTTTTTTTATTATTTATTTAACTTTTATTATTCTCTTTATTTATTGATTGATTTAATTATTTATTTATTTATTTAGTGCATTGGGAATAAGCGTGGGTGAGAGCGTCAGCCAAGCCCAGATTTTAAGCTTTGCATGCACTGAATTTCATTGTTAATATTTTATAATTTATATATTATTAAATAATTAAATTGCAGAGATATTTATCAGCTATCCATTTATTTTTTTAATTTATTTTTTTGATTGAGTATTTGAAAATTTTCGTTTGAATAAAATAATATTTAATTTAATATTTTACAAGAAAAATATATATATTTAAAAACATAAAATTTAAACAATAAAATTTTAAAAAACTTGACAAGAAAAACATATTGTTTACGCAAACATATCATTCTTGATCCAGAATTATAGTTTTAATTGGGTTGGACAAGGGATTTAAGGAATATTATATTATATCGGTAGTTGGTACAAAGTATGGATAAAAGACTTTTTTGTCCTTGTGAGTGTATTAGTGTAAAAAGTAGTGACAATTGTGTAATAAAAATGAAAAAAAATAGGAGTATTTTTATGGTGATATGGTTATTTATGAAAATAAGACTATTGTGTTGGAATGGATAAAAATAATAAACAAAACTATTGTATTGGGACGGATTGAGTTTTAAAAAGTAATTATATTTTATTAGGTAGTAGCATATGTAAAAGATTTTTGTATTTTTATTCTTTGACTTTTATATAAATTAATTATATATGTAATAATATATTTGTAATTTAAATAAAAATTAAAAATATTTTGATATTAATGTATGATTATTTTTACTAAAATAAAAAAAGTATATATTTTTGATTAAGTGAGTTGGATGAAAATAATAGAAAAGGTACTTTGACTTGAATGGAATAGTTTATTTCTTAATACTTTTCTACATTCCAAAATTATGTAGTTTTTCATTTATATTGTCCTTTAGATTTATATTAATTTATTTATAAAAATAATTTTTAGTAATCTTTTACTTTTTTATTTTCCCACTTTGTTTCTTTAGGAGAAGGGGGGAGGGTGGGTGGTTTGGTAAATTAATGTGTTTGTTTGGGGGATTGGATTTAATTTCCACTATTTATTTCATTTTTTTTTCCTAAAAACATCAAATCAAACACCTATTTTTTATTTTTTATATTATACTAAAAATCAATTTTACATTCAAAACATCACATCAACACCTATTTATATCACATCATACAACTATTTAAATTCAAAATTTTTACTATTCAAATCCCAACTCAAAAAATCTAAACCCCCAAACAAACTTTTATAGTAAATTAAATAGTAAAAAATTAAATAGTAAAGGGTTTGGTAAATTAAATAGTAAAAAATTAAGCATATGAATCACAAGAAAACTAAACCCTAACTTTGAAATTTTAATTATTTTATTCTAAAATTGGGAAATTATTTTTATCTTAAAAGTTTTTTTTCTTTCATTTAATGATTTAATTATATGATATAGAAATAGTATATGTTGTTACTTACACATTATCAAGTGCAATTATAAAATTATTAGAATGGAAATATATGAGATACTTCATCCGTCCCTTAATCATCTATCTATTTTTTTTTATTTTGGGCAATCCCATAATAGAGTATCCATTTTTTTTTTAGTAATTATATCATTTACCTAATATTATAAATACCTTTCCAATTTACAATATATTATACAAATGTCATTACTTTTATATCATACAATATTAATAGGGTTAATTTAGTCTTTTTACCTTTATTTATACTTTATCCCAATATAATACTAATACTTATAAAAACTCCGTGCAAAAAGCAAATGAATATATAAATATGGGACAGATGAAATACATGTTTATTTCAATATAAAATTTATTTGAAAAATCAAAATAAGTACTATTATTTCTAAGATCAAAATATATTTTCCCCCAAAATTTCACAGGCAATTTACATAGAATTCTTTTAAATCATTAGAGTATTTTTAATAGATCTATTGCCATTATAATTTAAATCGTTCGATAAAATAAATTAATTTTGCATTATACGCTGAAATCAAAATAATTATATCGCCTAATAAAATTCTCGAGTTAGTCAAAAAAAAAAACTCATCCTATTATTATGATCGACTATATAATTTTATTGAGTCATATAATTTTTGAAATAACTCAGGATAGATTTACTTGATAATTTTTTGGATTTTAATTTAAATAGCGGGTTTGATGTAGTATTTTTTGAGAAAAAATAATATATTTTTATAAAAAAAAAATATAATAATCGTGAAAATAATAATAATTAATTAATTAATTAAATTTGCTAATGTTGTAATTTTGACAACCACAGGTTCCAAGACATTCTTGAAGATGAGGAGAAGCCATGGAAAGCATATCTTTGTCATTCTCTATGAATAAATAATAATGACTTTGTGATATTTTTTAAATCAAAATTCTTTTTTTTTTTTTTTGTTTTTCTAATTTTAATTTTTTTTGCTTTGTTTGAAATCTTAATATTTAAATCTCCTATGCTGAATTTGGTAATCATGAAAGGTATTATGGGAATTATAAAATGTGATCAATCATTGTGGAGTTTGGTAGCTATCAAATTAGACTAAACATATGATTTTAGATTTTAAGTATTATTTTTTTATTAATTAGCTTTTTAAATAAATTATATATGAAAAAGGGGTTTTTATAGTTCTAATGACTTTATATTTGTGGGTCTTATTTAGAGCTGTTAGACGAACCGAGCCGTTTCTGAACTTGGTTCGGTTCGGTTCAATTCGGCTCGATTAAAGCTCGTTTACAAACGTTAACTAGCCAAGCCAAACAACATAAACAGGCTCGTTTGGTTAACGAACGAGCACCGAGCTTTGTTCGTGAACGTTCACAAACGTTTGTTTATATAATATATTTATTGTAAATATTATATATACATATAAAATTATAATTTATAAATAAATAAAATATTATTTAAAATATATAAATAAATTAATTTTAAATTTTCTTTATAATTTATATATAAATTTTAAAAAATAAGACAAACGAATTCGAACGAGCTTAATTGAGCTTAAACGAGCCGAACACGAGCTCAAACAACAAAAATTCTTAACGAGCCGAGCTCGAACACTACGAACGAACACGAGTCTTATTCGCGAACGTTAACGAACATTTAAAATTTGGCTCGACTCAATGGTAACACCTCTAGTCTTACTCACACATATTATTGTAGATTTTTTACATGTTAATTAGTTCCATAAGCATGTGATTGTTACATAATAAATAAAGAAAAATTGAAGTGATGATAAATAAGATATAATATTGTTTACATAGTAAATATTCATTTACCTTTTTACATGTAGTTTTAGAAATATTAGTATTATATTGGGATATAGTAGGAATAAAGTAGAAATGACTAAAATAACCTTATTAGTATGTGTGATATAAAGATAATGATATTTGTGTAATATATTGTAAGTTGTAAGGGTATTTGTAATGTTAGGTATATAATACCGTTACTAAAAAAATGAAATAGATACTTTGTGATAAGACGAACTTAAATGAAAAAAATTAGATACTTTATTATAAGACGGAGGGAGTATATATTTTCATATATATTGGTTACGATTATGTATTGAATATTACACAATTACATTGTTCTCCATTGTCAAATGAATGATAAATAAATAAGTGTGTTTGTTTAATATTTTAGTTCGAGGTTATTTATTTGTTTAATATTTTAGTTCGAGGTATTATTTTTTTTAATATATGCTTATACTTTTGGGCATATATTTTAATGTGAGTGTATACTTTATTATTTTTTATAATAAAAAAATACAAAACGGTAATAATTTATTTACTAAAAAAATAAGAATAATTTTCATAATAATTCAAAAGAAAATAAGAATATAATTGGATGACAAATAGTTAGTATTTTTGCATTGAATTATTGAACTTTTTTATGAGAAAATATAATATATATATATATATTGCATGAATGTGTGTATACATATATTATATTTTTTAATATAAATTGAAAAATGTACGAACAAAAAAAATAATATTTGGATAAACACACTCACTTTAGAGCAATTTCGAGAGTTTTGTAATTTTGAATTTTTTTTTAATAGTAAAAAATTGATATGAGTGAAAAAAAAATATATATTTAATTTGATATTAAAGAAAAAAATAGATTACTGATAAATACTAATTAAATATCAAAGCTTTAAAAAAATAAAATAAAAATGTACATACATGTAAACAGAGATGTTTGGATAGATTGGTCAATTCATTTTTGAATGTTATCGATAAATAGTTTAATTAAGAAATATATTAAATTGCATACAAGGAGTATTAAATTATACTATTTTCGTCCACCTCTAAAAATCACATTTACTTTTACGTCATTATACTTAACATTAAAAATATCATTATATATTTATATAATTTTTTTTTGTACAAATGTTATTTTATTAGTATTATGAGACACTAGTGGAAGTATTTTTGTAATTTTTTTTAGTTTTGTATTACGTTTTGATATAATAATTAATATTAAAAATTATAACATGCAAAAAAGTAAATAAGACCCTTAAAATCAGAGGTAAGTAGTACTCCTTCCATCCCATAACAAAATATTCATTTTTTCATTTTAATCCGTTCCATAACAAAGTATTCATTTCCTTTTCTAGTAACTATACTATCTACCTAACATTACAAATACCCTTACAATTTACAATATATTACACAAATGTCATTACTTTTATATCACACAATACTAATAAGATTATTTAGTCATTTCTACATTATTCCTACTACATCCCAATATACTACTAATATTTCTAAAATTTTGTGCAAAAAACAAACGGATACTTAGTTATGGGATGGAAGGAATATTAAATATTTTAATGATATGATTAAATCATATTATAAATATATTAAAACGCCATGCATGATTAAAAATTAAGGAACAATAAACTTGTGCACCCTTATGTAGTATTTGTTTTTTTATGATAAATTAAAAAGGGTAAACTGTTTTAGTCCCGTAATTGGACCCCCTTATCATTTTAGTCTCGTAAGTGGAGCCTGTCGCAAACTAGTCCCATAAGTGAAAAATTTTCGTTGTTTTAGTCCTCCGGCGCCGGAGATGCCCGCGTGGCTCGCCGAAGGTGACGTATCCGCCAGATGTCGCTGACCTGACGGACACGTGGATTTTTTTTTTTTTTTTTTTTCATTTTTTAAAATTTTTTTAAAAACTTATTTTTAATTTATTTTAAATTTTATTTGTATATTTTTTTTATTTGGTCCAATTAAAAAATTTTAAAAAAATTAAAAAAATTTAAAATAAAAAAAATAAAATCTACGTGTCCACCAGGTGTTGCTGACCTGGCGGGACACCTGGCGGACATGTCACCTCCGGCGAGCCACACGGGCTCTCCGGCGCCGGAGGACTAAAACAGCGAAAATTTTTCACTTATGGGACTAGTTTGCGACATGCTCCACTTACAGGACTAAAATGATAAAGGGGTCTAGTTACGGGACTAGAAAAACAATTTACCCATTAAAAAATAATACTCTATATGTTATTTTCGTTGTATATCGAAATAATTTCGGTATTTTAATATATATCGATAGTGTCAAATTATATATTGATATCGTATCGAAAATGTTTGGTATAATATCATATAGAACTGAAATTTTTACTATACCGAAAGTTTAAAAATTTTGATATATTTTTTTAGTATGATATGCAAGATATTTCAAAAATTTGATATTTTTTAACTCTAATTAAAAATAAATTATTTAAATAATTATGGGTAGAAAATTTAATATGTTTACTAAACAAAAAACTTCTAATATATATTTCACAATTAATATAATAATATATATTTCCTCTATCTCTTAACAATTTATCTATTTTTCTATTTTAGTCTGTTTCATAACAAAGTATCTATTTTTTTTTTTAGCAACTATATTTTTTTATTAACATTAAAAATATCCTTACAATTTATAATATATTACACAAATATCATTATCTTTTTATTACACATTACTTATAAAATTATTTTAATCTTTATTCATACTACATATTAATATAATACTAATATTCTTAAAATTTCGTATAAAAAACAAATGGATATATAGATAAAGGACAAAAAAAAATAATATTTTATTAATTTAATTAAATTTTGTAAAATGATATTAATATTTTTTCCCTTGCAAATATAAAAGATATAATTATTATTTATTTATTTGGTAAAAATTAGAGATATTTTAATATTTATATATAGATTATTTTTTTCTATAATAATAAATAGATAGTTTTGACAATTTTAGTGTACATCTTAGATGATTCAATTCTGTGTTAGTTAATGTAATTAAATAATTGATTTAATTAACTAAATATATTAGCTATATTTATGTTAAATTATTTAGTAAAATAAGTATTAATTATTTACACCTAAAATCACAAACAAAAATATTTTTATATTTTTTATTTGTGAAATATTCAATTATGTTTAGTGTTTAGGATTTTTTTATAATTTTTCATTCTTAGTTATTGGGAATTATAAATTTATAATTAAAATATTTATTTTTATGATTTTTTTAAATATTTTATGAGATAAAATAATTAAAAAATATGAATAATTTTTATTGAAAATCATATAAAAAAACTATTGTAAAACAATAGAGTATATAACTTTTATAAAATTAGCTTTTAAGATAAAATGCATTCTTTGAAAAAAAAAACTAATTTATCAAATATTTTGTTCAAACGTATATTAATTTTTTATTTGATTTGAATTATTTTCACTAAGATATACTCTCTTCGTTTCAAAACAATAGTTTCATTTTGTAATATTCGCTCGTCCCAAATAATAGTCTCATTTCTAATTTTTGTAATTAATCCTTACATTTTTATAAAACTATCCGCATTTTTTCACAATAATTACATAAAATAGGGACATTTTGGTTTTTTTGAAAATATTTGTACACCCACTGTCAATGTAAAATATTATTTCTTAATTCTCGTATTCATCTCAAATGTCCCTATTATTTTGGAGCGGAGAGAGTATAATTAAGTACTTATATTGATTCATTTTCTTCGTCCCACATATAATGCCACACTTTTCATTTTCATTCGTTTCAGATATTATGCCACCTTTTTTTGAAAAAGAATTATATTATATTTTAATCATATTTTAAATTTTATAATTTATATTTCTTTAAATTTTTATTAGACTAACTAATTATTTTAATTTTAATTTATAATTATTTATATTATATTTTAATTGATTTTAATATATTTTTAATTATATTATTAATAATATTTTTTCTAAATTATCGTCTTTACATATACACTTGGGATATTGGAAGAGAATTTTTTTCACTATTTGATTTGAATTATTTTAATTTAAATGAGTTGAAGACTTTTTTTTTTATATTTTTATATTTTTTTATTTTTTTCCCTTTGTGCGTGTGGTGTGGTAATAATGATATATACATTCATGATCACTAACTGAATAAATGCACACAATTTGTGTTACTTTACATTAAAAAGTAAAAATAAAAAATAAAAAGGAACA